CCTGTCCTCTTCATTTTTGCAATGGTTGTACAAAAAAGTTAATACATTAATTCAGTTGGAACAAAGCCCTAATGATTCAATCGGTTCAATTGACAAATTATCAATTACAAAAAACTTTAAAGCTTGCACTCTCAACAAATCGTTCGAATCTTCATAGCAAAAGGAAATTGTGCTTTGAATTAGAGCAGAACAAAAATCTTACTCTGAATTGAAGTAGAAAAGAAAACAACTAGTGCGCACTGCACGGGGCTGTACCTATGTGTGCGTGCGCGCTTCCTTCATCGGCCGCTGGGACACGCGTCCTTCTCTAGCCGCCTGTCCGTCGCCGTCAGCCTGTGCCCTGCCGGAGTGCCGGCCTTGCGCTGGGCGATGGCGCTAGGTTTCAGTCTTTCAGACTTCTAGAGCCCAGATCACCAGAGGAAAAGGAGACGACGGGGTGTTAGGAACGATCAGCGTACATACACGCGTACATGGGCTAAGACCTGATTTGGGCCTGGGTATGTTTCCTTTTTTTCCAGAGAAGTACTAAACTAATGGGCCAAATTCCAGGGTGGTCCATGGACCACCCTGGCCACCCTACAGCTACGCCACTGTGTGCAAGATAACACAGCAGGCCATGATCTCCCACATTTGATCTTTCGACCAGGTCTGAGCTGGGTATCGGACAACAGCAAATCGAGATTGGAGCACACCAAATGCCCGCTCGACATCCTTCCTGCAAGCCTCCTGAATCTTCGCAAACCAGGCGTTCTTGCCTCCAGGCACAGGGTTTTTGATGGTCTTGACAAATGTCGACCATCTCGGATAGATGCCATCAGCTAGATAGTACCCCTTGTTGTACTGCCGCCCATTGATCTCGAAGTTCACCGGAGGAGAATGACCTTCAGCAAGCTTGGCAAAGACAGGAGAGCATTCCAGCACGTTGATGTCATTGTGAGTTCCTGACATACCAAAGAAGGAGTGCCAAATCCAGAGGTCCTGTGTGGCCACCGCCTCAAGTACCACACTGCAACCGCCTTTGGCGCCTTTGTACATCCCCTGCCAAGCAAATGTGCAGTTCTTCCATTTCCAATGCATGCAGTCGATGCTTCCAAGCATCCCAGGAAATCCTCTTGCAGCATTCTGTGCTAGGATCCGAGCAGTGTCTTCCGCATTGGGTCTTCTCAAGTATTGCGGTCCAAACACTGCCATCACTGCCCGACAGAACTTGTAGAAACACTCTATGCTGGTGGACTCGACCATGCGCCCATAGTCGTCCTGTGAGTCACCGGGAGCTCCTTATGCAAGCATCCTCATCGCTGTCGTGCATTTATGGATGGATGTGAATCCAAATTTGCCGGTGCAATCCATCTTGCATTTGAACTAGTTGTCGAACTCCCGGATGGAATTCACAATCATGAGGAAAAGCTTTCTGTTCATCCGATAACGGCGCCGAAATGTTCTATCGCCGTGAAGTGGAGCATCGGCGAAGTAGTCAGAGTAGAGCATGCAGTAGCCTTCGAGACGATGCCGGTTCTTTGCTTTCACCCGCCCCGGCGCCGAGCCACCTCGTTCCGGCTTTTCATTGCTCGCCAGCAGCTGGGCGAGGGCGGCGAGCACCATGAGATGCTCTTCTTCCTGGACGTCGGCCTCGGCTTCCTCCTTCAGCAGCGCGGTGAGCACTTCCTCGTCATCCGAGTCCATCGCTGAGGCAGTCAAATCGCCAAACACCTTGCGCGCGGTGGGCGTGCACCCGCCGCTAAACTGCCCCTCCGCGGCCGGAAACGGCGGCCGGAGACGCCCAACTGATGCTGGAGGGGCTGTCGCGGCGAACCTATGCTATTTTTCCGGCGGGGAATGGCTATCTACCGGTGAAGGGCGGCGGGGCGGCGCCGGGATATACCTAATTGCGGCCGAGAGCGCGGGGGGTGGGAGGCGGTCGGGAAAGCAAATCTTGACTTTTCACCTAACGGCGTGGGCCATCCGCGCTTTTCCCTTGCGCCGGAGCCACCAAGCGCCCCCAGCGCGCCGGGTTCGGCCTGCGGCCGCCGGGCGGAAAAAAGACCGAACCGGCGCTTTTCGTCGTCCTGGAACGCGACTGAACCGTTTTTTGGCGCCGGCGCCGAAAAAGTCGCCTCGGGGGCTGTTGGGGACGCGGCTGGAGATGCTCTAAGGTGCAGGAGAAGCAATAATCGCCGGCGTTGTGTCAAACCTGGCCATGGTCTGCCTTTGTGGTCTGTGCCGACGGAAGTGAGCTAGCGCAACCTCTGTTCTTGGCTTGATCACTACCTGGCATGGCATGGCCTAGCTACCATCTGAGCTTGACAACAGCTAGCGCTCGTCGATTTGGACATTTGGGGCACTGTAGATGGAGAATTCACTGGCGTTTATTTATGCCATTAAGGACAATTGATCATAAGCTTGCTAGCTAGTAGGCTGCATCATTTTTTGGTTGCGACTGCACTGCACGTCCTCACTTTATACGAGTCACCCCGCCTGTGATCGAGCATTAAGATGTGAGGTGAAGGCACAATTAATGGTGGAAATCTCACTAGCCATAACGCCCATATGATCCATTGTTTACGCCGTATCATTGGTACTCTCTTCGAGTTAACAGCAACTCTAGCATACTCATTTCCTAAAGGGCTCCCTCTAAAACCATTTTAAGGTTTGTAGCTCGGTGCTTTCTTAGGTTTCCTAAAATTGTAGTTTCTGTATTTTCTTTTCTACTTTTCTTGTGTGCGCTCTTTTTTTGTGTTTCAACATCAGACAACTCAATAACATTTCAAATCCATAATTTTTATTTTTAAACATAACATTATATGTCCAAGTGCATGAATAAAATATGATAATCATCGCCCGGAAGCTCGATGTGGTGAAACTCAAGTACTACTTCTTTGAAGAATTTAGAGTGTGGAAGCGCAAACCGCACTTGAAGAACTTGATCATGACCACAATCCACACCTCTTGGGGTGGGGTGGCTTGACCCTACATTGGCTTGCACCCTGTCATGTGAGAGGGAAACAAGAACCGTTGTTGCATCGGCAATTTCAAATTGGTCGCACCGCACAAGTTCTTCTTCCAGTCCAATGACGATGCATCCAACTTGGAATGCTCGGATATCCTGAAGAACTCTACTCCAAAGCGCCGAAATGGCGAAAATGGCTGAGGTCCGAGCTCCATTTGTCCACTCCTTTATAGACCCCTCACGCCTTGAAGGGTGACATTAACGATGGTCGGCACAATCACTCTCGCGGCCCGTTATTTCCACATGATTGATAATATGGGTGTGTGATTGAAAGTAGGAATTCCCACATCGTTCGATTACCTCTGTTGCTTGGGTCCATCGATAATGACCTTTAGGTTAGCTAAGGTGTGTATGTTTTGTCACCACCATCCACAATGACAGTGGTTGGCCATCCGAATATTTTGGATAGCTTGCCAATTTGTGAGTCCATTACCCCCCGAGGAGTGTGGGATGTTTCACATTCTGCACTAGGGATATCTTACTCAGAGCACGGTGTCGCCTCAAGTAAGCTCTCAATGACTTAGAAGGGCCCCGTGAGCCTGACTAAATCGCCCAAGTGCTTCTAGAAACTTGACCAAGGATCTTGTCGGGAAGATCTGAAAGGTGGCAGACTAAAGGTTTACATTTGATTTCATTTCCAATGGTCACAAACCTGATTTCGCGTAATGGCGAGGGGCTTGTGGGTGTAGTGCATTGCTACTAAAAAGGTATACCATCTGGGTGTGGATGGATTGTACCAAACCATTGGTGCATATGTTTCCCGAGGCTTGCATTTGGAGATAAGGACAGCCGCGATGATTCCAGGAGCATGATCAGATCATATTGTATTGCACGAGAGA